CGTAGCTGCGCTCAAAGGTGAAGATTTTTTTTATTCCTTTTTTTTAAATGTGAAGCAGTCAGCAGCTCAGCCAAGTGAGACTGAATCAAGTGAATTTCTCAAGCGTTGGGGGCTGAAGACCCTGATGACCGATCTGATCCGAAAGTCCCCACTAAACGGCAATTAGAATCCAACCCAAAAACGCCCATCGTCATCGACTCTAGTCCTCCACTTCCTCCAGTCAAGCAAGCCAGAACAGCTTACAAATCAACTGCCGAATCCAACATTATTGTATTGTCCTCTGACGATGAAAGTAACGATGTGAAGAATCAAAAGGCGCATCATATCAAGCACATGAATGTGATCGAATTATGCCCATTATCCATACCCGGCGATGAGTGTAAGCGTTGCAAAGTCGAGACGCGCACTGGCGGTAAAGATTTCTCATGCCATTGTGGTGCCAAAACGATTTGGCTTGGCCACGGTCGTGTGAGAATTGCACAAGCTCACTGGGCCACTGGTAAGTTGATACCAATTTTCTATCGTGCTACATCATAACCTTGAGACTAACATTTGAAACAATTTCACAGATACTTGCAAAGACAAGACCGAAAACCTCAAGAACAACACTCAGTTGACTAGTTTTTTCAAAAGTTCTACATCGAAGCCTAATTTGATCACGGTAGCTTGTCCAGGACTCAACGACCAAACTTGGATACGACGAAAAGCCACGCACTCAATTGCCGATTTTATCTCAAAGACGTTCAGCATCTATCGTGGAAATCACCGACACGATATCTGCAGGGAGCTATTTGGAAAGAACGCTCAAGAGAATCAGTTGACCAAAGCCCAAAAGTCACAATTACTTGCAACATTAGACGCTCGATCAACATGGCAAGTCAAGAGACACAGAGAACGGAGTGCGATCTATTCGAGTGACTGCAAAAGGACCTTACTTTGCAAGAAAAGCCACGATAATCTTGTATGTAGCTCTTGTCAAGAACTCAAAGCGAACCGTAGCTTGTTAAAAGCACTCAACTCGGATTATGCAAAAGACGACGAAATCAAGTACTCTCGAAATGATTACATGTCTGACAACACCCACTCCTTTTCATCCACTTTATTGAAATTATCTGATTGCCGCCTCCTCCAATCTTCAATCGAAAGTTCTTCAAATGGTGATTTCGCCAATTTTATGACGGTTGTTGCCGCTTCGGCTCGAAATGGACTCTTTTCCAATTGTGACGCAACTCGTGGTTTGATCAAGGCGGTGGCGATTAAGGCTGAACGTGAAAACAATGGAAAGTCAACACGAGGCATGAGAATTGACTCATGCCTAGATGAATTCGTGATGACTTTAGGTGCCATCAGCCCACGGGCTTTAAACCTTTTCAACGACAACTTCGCCGGTCGTGGCAATCGAAGTCTACGAATGATACGCGCCAAAGAAGGATTTCATCTAGTTGACGGTCTTCACATCGACAATTTCACTCGAATTGCTCAAGTTTTGAAGGATCTTGGCTATTCAGGACCGATTGCAGCTGCATCTGATCAGACTGTCTGTGTCAAGCGTCTTCGCCACCATAATGGCTTTTTGGTTGGGGCTCAAGGAGGTGACATCTCTTTCACCGATGCTTCTGAGCTTCCAGACCTGGTCAAAAACATCGTGAAGAACAAAGAACTCTGTTCTAAAGTGAGTCATAGAATTCTAATGTCTATTTCGACATAAAATTTCATCTGACATACCAATTTATCTTTCATTCATCCAGATTCGAGCGTATACACTTCAAGTTCCATTACCTAACATCCCTACTTTCATAGTGGCTTTAATTGCTAGTTGCGATAAGGAGACCTCTAATGACATATTAGAAGGCCACATGAAGTTTTTGGAATTATCCCGCGAAGCAGGTCTCAACATTCTTTCAATTGGTGCAGATGGTGCTCCAATAGAACTATCTGCTCAAGGTTCACTAGCCAAATCAGCGGACCACTACTTCACCTACTCAAACCCAACTTACAATGTCCATATTCAAATTCCCCTAGTAGGCCATCCTCCTCGACCGGTGGTCATGGTTCAAGACCCTAAACACGCTCGCAAAACAAGTGCCAATCAGCTGGCCTCTGGAGCTCGTCTTCTCACCATTGGAAACTATCATATCTCAATTCAACAACTCGCAGCAATTCTTCAGTCGGGCCGCAGTCCACTCCTTCATAGGGATGTATTTGACTGCGACAAACAAGACGATGGACGAGCCTTTCGCACCTTAAGCTCCTCGACACTGGCCGTTTCGCTCGCCAACAAAGAGATGCTCGGTTTGTCAATCTACCTCTACGTCGTTGGAGAGATGTGTGACGCTTGGTTAAACCGGTCAATTGGTCATCGCGAACGTATTCGATCAGCGTGGACTGCCGAGTTCTTCTTCAGGCACTGGAGGAAGTACCTCCTCAAAAGACAATCCGAACCTCACAAGCTCATGAGTTTCTCTCAAAATTGTATATCACCTCAAAGCTTCAAGATTTTTTCCACTATTGCGACTTCCCTTCTCCAACTTGTCATAGCTCATCGAGAGTTCTATCCGACCTGTCCTCTACTTCCATGGAAACATGGGAGTGAACCATGTGAGCATAGCTTTGGCTGGATGCGCGTGATATCTCCGCGATTCACTGTGCTTGATGCTAGGATGATGATGCCTAAGATACATCTAATCGTGAAAAACATAATGTCAGGCAAAATGAAGATCCCTCCATCTGAACATATGCATTCTGGCTATCAGTATGCATTTAGCGACGAACCTGACACCAATAATCTAAAGATACTTACCGAATTCCCTTCAGATATCGAGATACATGAAGATCTGAAGACTGCGTATGAACGAGCTGATCATCTGGTCACAATTTCTGGAATGGGTTCACTCAATAGTCTGATCTGTGACACTCCAGGCGTAGAAGTGGAGGATTCATATGAAATCATACCCGAAAACCTGTCAGGTATGATCATTTATTTACTTTTGTTTGTTTCTTCTTCTTCAAAAATTCGGTTAAATCTGACATATTTCTTTTAGATGTATCGGTCTGCGCCACACAGAACTATGATATAGATTATGTATATAAAGTTGGTAGTTGTCCTGAAAAGGAAGCGCTTGAAGCAGCAGCCCTCCTGACCAAGGAACAAAACACCATCGACCTATTTCTTGACACCTTACCCGAAAATTCTGAAAGTGAATGTTTGAAAAACGCAGCTATGAGTATATCGAACCTCCTCAATCCAGCCTGTAAGCCCATGACGTTCATACATAAAGAAAGTCCTAAGAAAGAGTTGACACAACATAACTAATGCCTGTCTCTTTCTTTCGCGTTCTACTTTGTAGCGGATCATGGGCCAAAATCAATTGGATCCGAGATTGATGTAGAAATCGGGCCTTTAGTCATCAACAACAATCTCATTGGTTCCACTCTCATAGCGATCCGAGGACGGCATGACAGCGAGGTTCTCAAGCATAAGGGAAACGAGCGAAGTCTCATTCATCCCGATGAATTACATTTAGAGTTGAAAAACACATCCAAGAGTGGAGGTTTAAATGCAAGTGCGTGTTCGAAGATCATTGCAGTTTGCTTCAAAAACCTGGAGGAAGTTCCAACTGGCGAGGCACGTCGACACCGATGGAATATCAACGTCAAGATGGATTTATCTGGAATTGTCAGAGATACGTCGACTTTTGGTCAAGCCCACTTGCAAGGGCTCCTTGATGGCGGCGAAATCAAGCGCTCAAACCCTATCAAGCCCGGAAGCTTCATCGTTTTGATTAAGAATCATGTAAGTTTCATTCTCGACTCACTTTAGTTATAACAAGTCTGATGCATTTCTGGTTTGTAGAGTTTGTACTTGGCAAAAACACTTGTTGTTTACAAGCTTGTCAACAAGAAACACGCCTTTGTGACAAGTGCCGATGCGCGGAAAGGTTTGTCACACATAGCCGTACAAATCCTCTTTTACAACCCGGCTTATCCAGTCATAACACCAACTCAAGGCTTGGATTCGACTGCTTTGACATATTCTCTCTTGGATGCTACCGACGTAGTATATGTATTTGAGCCTTCTGCTGGTTCAACATTTGTTGATTGTGGAAATGGTTGCTATTTGATTCCATCTGTCATACGTGACATGCTTGGATCGGTGCATCTTGACAGATTGATTGACCGCTATTATGATGAATTAGCACAATTGAAATCCCGTCCCAATGATGGGGATATCTCTGACTGATACTTAAAGATTATATATATGAATTCATGTACATGATGGAATTCATGACTCCAACAACTTGTAACTAAGAAATTATCACCATGATACATGCTTTATGTGATGAAATACAATTTTTACACGCATTTTTGGGACCCAAGATTTTTTTTTTATTTTTTTTTTATTTTTTTGGAGGTGCATGACCAAAAAGTGGATTTTTTGGGGTCCAAAAATTAAAAACCCGTGTATGTACGTGTCCTAAAAGGTGATTATTTGAGTTTTTTTCAAATTTTCACCAGCGAAACTGGCTTTTTTACGTCACCCACCTCCATAGGGGTATTCCAGGGTCCTATAAACACGTGTAAATACCACTGTGTCAAAAAAAATTATCTTATAGAAAAAATTGCATCATTGCAAGTCCAAAAATGATGCATAACGGAATTGAACCCCAGCAAGAGAGTCGGAGTCCGCATTCAGAGGTCAGGGCTTTCTGCAGCCACTACATGCAAAGTGCTGACCCCGCGGATGCGGGGTTGCAGTGACGCCGCACAAAACCCAAGGGGGGGTCTTGCAAAAGCGGGGGGTCAATCCGGGGTCAGCGCAACCCCGCACCCGCGGCGTCACCACCTTGCATGTAGTGAGCAAAGCCAATTGACCAATTGAGAGGTCTGGACAACAAGCAGTTCAAGATGAATTGAAAGACATGGCAGGGTGCGGGTCCGAAGGGCTGGCATGTTCAATTCAAAGTTCAACAGCTGTCAAGATAACTGTCGTGAGTATGAACAAAGTTCAAGTCCAAAACTGAGTTTTGAACCAGTTTTTGCCTGGCAAGTTAAAATCGAGCACAACACATACACATCAAGAAATTACCGATAGTTCTCACAACGGCTGTACATATTTATCCAATGGAGACGCCATACACAATCCGATCAGCAAATTCAAGTTAGCAAATTGCCATTGCTTTGTTTCCTTCTGTTGTGCCGCACACTCAGTAGAGGCACAATATCATCCATTAGTCTATGACCAATGTATGATGGTCCTCATCACCTTAGCTTCTCATTGCATATTAAGGAGACAAAACAATTTAAATCCCCTTACTATTCAATACTTGCATTTTTTGGCAGAGGAGCTCTAAATTTGAAGTAACCATCATGTGGTTTTTTTTGACTTCTTTGCTTCACCTCACCATAGAAAAAGCTAAGGTGTTGGTATGCCATTCCTTCATAAAATGGTACACAACCTTGTACCATAAACATATCT